TGTGTGCCCAGTTGGAAGCTTGTGATTGTATCATTTTAACTCTATACTTTCTGTGGCAGCCTGCCTAGTGTGATCCACCCAGCAACTCCTCACTTCTTGATTAATACAATTTTCTAGTTGTCACACTATTAGAGTACGGCTGAAGGCAGTGTGTTTCCTTTCCCAATGTTAGTTTTAGTGCCCTGAGATGTTTTACCCAGTTTATCACAAGCTGGGAATGTTTATTCACGAATTATGGCCATACAGCAGTAAAGTTTTAAAAAATGTGTTATACCTGTTTTTCCCCCTGACCTAGGAAGTGTAGCCTCATTCTTTATAACACTGGCATTGTTGTCTTGCCTTTCATTTTGTATGACTGACTTTTATACCAAATTGAATAAGCCATTAGCTTTTAGTCTGGAGGAATGTGGATCCATAGATATTTCCCATTAGACAAAAGAAAATCTATAAAAGCGGTATCTCCTGGGGCTCGGTCTTCCTAGCTGGCCTAATGGTGTAAAGCGCTGCTGTCCTGTGCCCTTATGAGAGAGAACGATGTGGAAGGATTCTCTGAACACCCAGAACTATTAATTGGAGAGTTGTGTACATCTTTTCAGACAACCTTAACTTCTGTACTATACTGCCTTTATTAATCGAATATTCTGATTTAGGGAATTTGTGTTACAAATTTTATATTTTTGAAACTGTTACTGAACAAAATGACAAACTTTGTATCCCTTGTGTGGTTTAAAATTCAAATTTGCTACTGTAGCTGTGTTATTTTGATAAGTTTTTTTTTAAGAACGTCTCCTCAGAAAAGACCTCAACTGGTGACGGTTGCACAATACTGTGAATACGTGAAAACCCGCTGAAGTGTACGCCGTAAAAAGGTGGGTTACATGGGCTGTGAATTCTCTGTAAAGTTGTTATGAAAAAAGTTTCCACCGCACAAAATATTTTCATAGGTGCAAACTAATAGGATTTTAGCTTATAGTTGCAATTAAAAAATTTTGTTAGCTTTAATAAATTAACACTTAAAAGCTTTAGAAATATGAAATCGTGTGTGGATTAAAAAATACCTTGCATTCTTATTCAGTGGTAATACATGTTTATTATGGGAACGTCAGAAACTGCAATTAAGAAAAGAGACATTTAAAAATTGTGAGGGTCTTTTAATATTCACATCTACCATGTAGTCTGCGCCTAAGCTTTCCCTATATTTAACTACTTCCTTGGAATCTGTATTTTTCTTGCCAGCTTTCATTAGCAATAAATAGCTTTTCATGACCACCGTAGGAAAACAGCCAGATGTAAAAATATCTTCTTATAAGAAGGTTAGCGAAAGTGCTGGCTTTCCCTGCCCTGAACTATGAGAGGTGTGCAATAACATCTTCATCCAGAGAAATGCAATAAATATACCGCAGAATAGCTTTGGATATACAGTCAGTTTGGGATTTTGTTGTAAAAATTTGCTTTAAAACATCTCAGCTTTAAGGTGAAAACTAAAGACTTGTGCCATCAATTCTTAAACAGGCAGAATATTAGTTTGTCTTTTTTTTTCTTTTTAAAAAAAGCTCTTGTTATCACATTTAGCATTAGCTTTCTAATGGCCAAAATTGTTCGCAACACAGTTTAAAGATAAATGCAGTATCAGGCTTTGAATATTTTTTTTTTTTTTGGTAAATATTAAGACCTGAGTACAAAATGAGGGCTGTACTGTGGATTAAGTGAAATATCTCAAGGCTGTGCTGTTCTGATAACTGAACCTGAAGTGACCTTTCTCAGACACAATTACAGAGCTGTATGTTTTTCCTTTAATTTCATCAGGGGTTTAATTAGTATACAAATAAAACTTCCCTTATCTTCCTTTCTACCTAATTGGCTTGTCTTCGCTTATATATGAAGTATGTGAAAGTGGGCTGTAATTAGGGTGACCGTGTTAACCTTTTTTCCTCAAATGTACTGTTGCCTAAAGGCCTCAAGGCCTAAAAACAGCGCTTTGGATTATTGCTTTGCAATCACTATGGGTGTCCCACAGGTTTTCTCATGAGCAGAAGGGCTTTGGGTGCTGCAGGTTCCCACTGCTTAACAGGATCTTCATTCTTCTCCCCACTAAATGTTTATTGATTATCTCGCTGTTCCAGGCTCAGCCTCCAACAACTTAATATCAGGTGACAGTCAAGAGAGTTCTCCAAGTAATTAGAGTTGAGCATTGGGGGAACAATTAGGAGCAGAGTTATTAAACTTGATTTATCCTATTCTCTCCTGAACAGTTTCTTGGATATCAGAACATCACACTTCCACAATCTACCCTGGTTGAGAAATTAGTGGCTAACCTGCTGCTTATCATTGGTGCCTTGCTGCCTAGAGGCACACCCTCCTGGTTCCAGTCGTTCAGGCTGGAAATATTAGAGTCCATAAAGTTTATCATAGGTTTTAATTAGACAGACATGGACAGGAGAAAATAAAAGCTTCACTTAAAACTTTAAATCAATATATAATATATGCTATATATTATATATGGGATAGGTACATATGTATATGCATTATACACACACACACACACATACACACACACACACAAGTATGCTTTTCTTTCTTTAAAGCTCAGCGTTGAGATTTTTAAAGATTCTAATTGTGTCATCAAAAACAAAACAAGAAAGTGACTATTAGGGGAAAGACAAATTATTGAATCACTTTTTGTTTTGGTGTTTTGCACACATCCTTATGAACTTTAGAACCCACTGATGTCTATGGATTCCATTGTACTGTACCTACCTCAGCTCCTTTAAAATCGGAGTGCTGTTTCTCTCAGTTAGGTGGCTATGATCATTACCTCTACATTTTCACAGTAAGGAGGTGTGACCTCTGCAGCTTTGTTTACACCACTTTGTGTTCATTTTCTGCAGCTCTAGTCTCAGAGTGGGCTAAATTCAGCTCTTCTGAAATAGTGCGAGCTTTAGGAGAATTTGGGGGCTGCCCACCATTTCCTCCGAGAGAGGATAATGAAAGCCAGAGGAACCAAGGAAATTTGGATATATGGTAGAAATTCTAATTCTGTGAGATATATCGTCTTTGAAAGGATGTTGTAGGATGGCTGAAAAAGCAAGTGTGGTTTTGCGATGCTGCCAGGGTGGTGTGTTTCTCTCAGATCGGACCACTGAGCTTCACTCTGGACAAGCCTGGGGACAGTGCCCTGAATACGCCTCACCAGTACACACCTCTAGTCAGAAGAGTTACCGAGCAAGAGCATCGGAATGGATTGGCACAAATCCGTTATTTCTGTCGGAAAAATAATTCAAACTTTATGCAAAGCTGGTAGTGGGTCATTAGTTTTATCTTCATATCTGAAAAATAGCATTTTTTATTAACTGAAAGATGTGAGAAATACTGGCTTTAATAGGACTCAACTGGATTTTACTTTTTTAGATAAAGAAACCTCATGATATTTCAGTGCCTTTACATATCTTAACATGGGTGCAGAATACGTAGGCTTAGCATGGCCTTTAAAAATCTTTTCTTTGTCATCTCTTTAAAGTTGGTCTGAATCAGTGACTGTTTCTATAGTGGGCTGTTCTTGAAGATCTGCTAACACTAAAGACTGTAATAAAATACAATATCTGATAAATAATCACAGTTTACTTATTTTTTGTTTTTTAAACTTGTACTTGTCTGGAGGCAGCTTGACTGCTTGAAAAGTGAAACACTGAATTAAAAAACGGTTAACACTTTAAAACACCTGATTTGACTGATGACTGCTTTCATTGTACTAACATTTAGAGTGAATTAATTGTTTTAGCTCCATGCAGGCAGATTGAGTTTTCTATTCTATCTATTGTGAATGCTTTAAGAGAATACTGTAGAAAGAATTTTAAACATGAAATTATAGGTTTGTTAATTATACATATAGCATATATATTATTAACTATACATATGTTATGCTATATATATGCTATATATATGTTGTGAATATTCGTGTGTGGCTAAACTCTGAGAAACAAGAAAAAATATGTGTATGTACCAATTGATTAGTTAGCTCACTGTATAGCGAATTTACTTGAAAAACTGATAAGCTTATATCCTAGAAATTTCATAGGCAGAGAAATGAACAAAATTTTAGTGCTCAGGGATCCTGTGATACTTGTATTATTTTGAATGTAGTCTAGAAAATACTCTTTTAGATTGTGAGGTTCTGATTCTAAGACCTTTAGTCCTAAAGTTCCAAAATGATGTTAGGCACTTGCATCTTGATATTTTTGTGCTATGTAAATATTTCAGATGAAGCAAACAGCAAAGCATCATCAACAGATTTTATACTTCTATGACTGGAAAAATACTTATGGGACACAAATAATTCTGAATGCAAGTATTATTTGTAACTTTCTCTGTTAGATGAAATGTGTTGATTGCATTTGTGTTGCTCTCCTTGACATGAGAGTTATCTCATAGGAAGTAAGGGAGTTTTGTTTTGGAATCCAGTTTGTCTGTTCACTGAGATGTCTGTAGCAACCTGTTCAGGATATATTTATAAGTAAAGTAGTGATGCTTTTAAATCTTGGGTTCCCCTTTCTCACATAGGTGTCCTGACCTAATTTCCCTTCACTCACACACACACTTTGGGCTTATGATAGTTCTTGTTTCAGATAGACTCTAAATTTCATGTGCTTTCTCCCCTGAAAATCTTTACTTCTTCATCATTCACAGAAAGTGCTACTTGAGGTTTTTATAATCAGATGTGGGTTTTTCTTTGTGAGAATAAAATGTATTTGCCTTACGGTATTTGAAAAAATAAAATAGAGCTGTATTTGGTAGCTAAACATTTTTCAAAGTCTTACCGGATCTATCATTTCTAATTCGTTAAGTATGTAAAATTTTCGCAGAAAATTTGTTAAACCTTGACGTGTAATGACCCAAGTCTACTTCTCAGTCAGTCTGTATCCTTCTTTGTTTAATAGCCTATGGCATAAATGGAAGTTCATTATCAGGGCTGACAAGGAACTCTGTTTTCTGTCTGCTTGCAGAGTCTCTCCGAGGCAAAGATGGAGCTGAGAAGAAAAGATCAATCTCTGCGTCAGCTCAATAGACATCTTACCCAGCTGGAGCAGGACAAGCATCGGCTGGAGGAGAACATCCACGATGCAGAGAGTGCCCTCCGCATGGCAGCCAAGTGAGCATTCGGGCCTTGGGGAGGTCACTTAAAACAGACGAAAGATCAATTCTTACTTTCATGCTCCGGGTTTTAGCCCTGGATAATACAGTGTTAGGAAACAAAAGTACAGCTGTCTCTCTTTGAAATTCTCTGATATATCCTCAAAAAAGGAGCCTCTTAACTCAACATGCTAAATGTATATTTTATTGAGAAACCTCGGAAAAATATAAGGTTCTATGCAACCGCTAATTATGTGTATTTTGGGCTCTGTTGTTTGAAACCATGATTTCATTAATAAGGAATGGAATACTCTTTATTTTAAAGTTTTTCACGGTTCCTTCTATCACATAGTCCTCGTTTCCCTCTGCCCCATTGCCCCCCAAATTTTGCTTTGCATATGAATATACCGATATTGCAAGTCAGTATAAATATGCTAGTATATAATCAACACATATGTCATAGCGTCTTCTTAAGGGCAGTAAAACACATTGATCACGGAAAATTCATTTACGTTTATAGTTGTATATTCTAATATGTCCAATAGAAAAAAAACACAGTTTTTAGAGTGGGCAACTATGCAAATGTGATGAGAGTGTTTTTCCTTTTACCAGGTAATCAAGTTGACATACACTGTGAAGTTCAAATTCAACAATTCTCTTGGGTAGCTTTATTTGTTCCTCACATCAAATTTCATGGTATACTTTAAGATAGTCCTTTGTACAACAGCATGGCTTAAAGAAAATCTATTTATGGATTAAAGAAACATCGAATTTTAATAAACTCGGTGTTTTCTGCATTTGGAATTCTGGATTCCTGTGATTACAAATACACACACACACACACACACACACACACACACATATATAAATTAAAATTTTTTTGAGACAGACTCTTGTTAAGCATCAAATATTGTGAAATATGAATGTAATCTATAAACTAAATCACAGAACAGGGAATCTGCACCCTAGGATATCTTACAACTTTGCCATTGGGCTTGGGAAATTGCTAACACATAATGAAAAAATGAGTTTACACAAGGCCAAAGTATTGCCAGGTTTGAATACCCACTGGTAGTTCTTTGGGAAATTGTAAAGCTCTGTAGCATTGCACCACCATATTAGGTATATATAATTGTCATTTTTAAAAACTACAAATTTGACTAAATCAGCTTGTTGTCATTGTTCAGTCTTTTTCCTCATGGCAAATGGAAAGCTTAGCCTAGGTTATTTCTCGTGTGTCTTTACAGCTCTGAAAATTCTGAGATTAATGGAAACAAGATTATAAAGTCTCCTGATTCGTATTGTGTCTTCAAAACAAGGCTGCTAATTCAGAAATCTGTCGTGTCTGTGATCTGTGACCATGGGCACATGTTCTTGTAACACAAAAGAAAGTTAACTTGAAATTTGGAGAGCTCATATACTATTTACAGTTTTCAATTTATAGTGTACCATTAAATTTTGTCTTCAGCATTTTCATCCAAACTTTTAATTTAATTTTATTTTTGTTGAAGTGTAGTTGGCATTCAATATTATATTCAGGTATACAACATAGTAATTCAACATTTGTATACAGTATGAGGTGATCACCATGATAAATCTAGCTACTGTCTATCACTCTAAAAATTGTTCCAGTGTTGATTATATTCTCTATGCTGTGCATCCCAACTTTTTATTTCGTTACTAAGGCTAAATTCAGACTATAAGGTTGTTAGAAGAAACTAGTAACTTTACATGTTTCTGATCAAGGATTTAGAAGGCTTTTGTGCAATTACCGTAATACAAAGAACCTATGTAGAAAGAAAAATATTTTGCATAATATGGCCATTCATGATATGTCTCCACCACTATGATTTTTAAAATCTCCATCAGTAGAAGTCAAAAGAATAGAAGTTTATCCTTTCTGGCAGTTTCTTTTTTTTTTCTTTTTTCACTCTTTTCTTTTTTTAACTTTAGGGATATCTTTAAGATTTTTTTCCCCTCTACTTTATGGCAGGCAATATAACTAAAGGTAAGGGTTAAATGTGGAATATACCAGTGAATCTGGTTAGGTTTTGCACTTTTGGAAAGAGAACAATAATAACTAACCCTTATTTTTCAATAATAATGACTTATCCTGAAATGTGTAACAGTTGTTGTAAGGCTTGGAATTTACTAATACCTAATTTTTTTCTTTTCTAGGGACAAAGAATGTGTTGCTAACCATATGCGAACAGTAGAAAATATGCTTCATAAGGTAGTGTAATTTTTCTTCAATATCGTTCAACTTGTGTTATGACATTGTTTTCCTAGTCATCAGTTTTATTGACCTCAAGATACTTTAATTCAATTTGTAACTTTCTTAAAAAATAAACTCACAAAAAGGTCCTTCCAAATGACTAACAGTTTGTATTATATAATGTTGCATTGCATAGCTTTCTCCAGAATTTACTTTATGTACTTGCTAAAACTATGGAAATCGTGGTTTCCCCAAACTGGTATAATTGCACTTGAGTTATTGGTGGTCTTTGCTGACTGAACCAGAGGTCATTACGATTCTTACACGTCTCATAATGATAAAATGTTTGACCACACTGTCTAACCTCTTACCACTCTCAAACCTACCATCCCATGTATGTGTATAGAGAGGAGCCGTAATGTATTGTACCTGGCCATACTTTTCAAGTTGTAGTTTTCCCTCTTACAAAAATGTGTTCTTAAACTAGAAATTGAATGTATTTAATGATACTCTATTCTTTTCAGATTTGATTACTTCCATATGATAAGTTAGCTTTTAATTTGTAGTGATGAGTGGCATTTAAGGATGTTAGCATTTAACGATGTTATGATATCACTAAGAACTTACACTGTGTAGTTTGTTAGCATTCCAGATTCAAAGATGTGTTCATTATTTCATTATTTGAATGTTTTCATTAGAGAATGTTATTTATGTGCTTCTGTTATTGTCTAACAATTTGTTGGAAATATAATTACCTAGTACTCTTAAGATATATAGAATTCAGGAATGAATCATATTTAGAATAATTCTGGGAATCAAATTTATTATATAATATAGTTTGGAAATCACTTTAAAACACCCTAAAATGAATCCTTTTAAGGAGATATTAAATAAACATTAGCAAACTAACATTTAATACATTTTAACATTGTAGAAAAACAACTAGGCTTCTGTATTCTTTTAGATATTGAAAGTGACTAGCTTTATTTCATATCACCCAAAACACTTAAAATAAAATCTAATATTCTGAATGCTATGTTTCAAAGTAGTATTGTTTGAAACTGTGATTTGTTCCCCTCCCCACTGAAAAAAGTTTAGTTTAGATATAGTTACATCAAATCCATATATGCTAGAAATCTGAAATTTGATTTGTAGGAAGAGACATCTTCGGTTAGATTTTTTTCATACTTGGTGAAATCTTTGATAGGAGAAATCAGTTATGTCATATATATGGCATGCCTTTTTATACAGTTGATGTTGCCTTGAAATTGTTTGTTCATTTTCCCAGCTAGAGGAAAAAAATGTCGGGTGGCATCTATAGTGAGAAATGGACTTAGACATCAGAGAAAAACCATTATCAGTATGGAATATAAATGTTGTACCTTATCCTTTCATTGTGAGAATGGCAAAATATATACTTTAAATATAATCAAGACTGGCTACAATAGGACAATTATAATCACACATTCTTCAGTTACAGTTCATCTTTCTATTTTTGTGTGTCATATGGAAGGAAAGATGTCCATAGAAAGAAAGATGGCCTAGAACCACTGTAGATCTATTTTTGGTTTATGGCTTTTTCCCCTTCATATTTAGTTAATTAGTTTGATTAACGTCTCTGGAACTTTCTATTTATATAGTGGTTTTAAAATTATCAAATACTTTTCAAGCTTGAAGTAAAAATTTAGGGAAGGCTAATCGATGGTTGGGCTAATTCCCTGTTCTATGCAGTTTAGGTGAGAATGAATGGATGCTAAGGAAGTGGCCCAGAGAGTCGCTTATGCCAGCCCACTGGTGTTGCCTGCTGTCTCCATGCCAACTTTTGCAATTTTGTGGCCTCTTTGGAGTGTGCAGAGGTGTTTTGCCATTTTGGAGAAACTGGGAATAGTACACAAAGAGGGTCTGGGCTCTTTCATGGCAAAAATGGTTGTGGTTACATTCAAACTCTTCAGTATAGTTTAGTGTACGTAGCCAAAATAGCACAGCTATTTATATTTCTCTTTTTTAATGTTTATTTATTTTTGAAAGAGAAGGAGAGCACATGTAAGCAGGTGAGGGGCAGAGAGAGAGGGAGACAGAGGATCTGAAGCAGGCTCTGTGCAACACAGAGCCCAATGTGGGGCTCAAATGGATGAACCATGAGATCATGACCCGAGCCAAAGTTGGATGCTTAAAGCACCTGAGCCACTCAGGTGCCCCAGCTCTTTATATTTCTTAAGCACATATGTTTTCAAGGTTTGCACTGGTTAATCTAGAATAAAATTAACTTGTACCTGCTGAATTGAATTTTAATACTAACTTCTGACACAATAATCAGACAGAAATGTTTGAGAGAGTATGTGGAGCCTGACGCAGGGCTCCATCTCACCACCATGAGATCATGACCTGAGCCAAAATCAGGAGTCTGATGCTCAACTGATTGAGCCACCCAGATGCCCCTATATTTGTTATTTTTTAAACTCGATACATCACATTCAACTTTTCAAATCCTGAAACTGTATTATACAAGGTAGTCGAGTGGATATTATTTTTAAAATTCCATTTGGGACCGATACTAGTATTTAATAAGGAAGGCCAGTCATTTTCATTTAAAATGCATACTTTATTTCAAAGAAATAGTTGTTTTATGTTAATTCCATGTAAATATATGTGTGTATATATTGTGACTTTTTAATGTAGGCCAGAAGTTAACTTTTTATTAAGAAACATTTCTGGGCTAATTTCCGGCTTATAGGGCTAAGAAAAAAATCACTAAAGTAAACAAAATCAGAACTTTCTATGAGGTGCATTTTTTATGCACACACTTATTTAGTTGAACTCTCAAATGTATGGGGAAAAAAACAGAACTATTGAATTAAAAAAATCACCATTTTAACTATTTTAAAATTTACAATTCAGTGGCTTTCAATGCATTTACAATGTTGTGCAACCGTCACAACTATGTTTTCAGAATATTTTCATCTCCTTAAAAAGAAATCCAGACAAATTAAGCAGTCACTCTTATATCCTCTTATTCTGTTCCATAGGTTGTCTTTTTACTTTCTTGATAGTGTCCTTTGATGAAAAAGTGTTTTTTAAATCTTGATGAAGTCCATTTTGTTTCCTTTTGCTGATCATGTTTTTGGATTCATATCTAAGAATAATACATTCATTGCCATATCCAAGGTCATGAAAATTTTCCTCTGTGTTTTCTCCAGAGAGTTTTATAGTGTTAAATTCTCTGGAGTTTAAGCTCCAAACTTTGGAGTTATCTTTGTATTAACTCTCATGTTTAGGTTTTGGTCCATGTTGAGTTAATTTCTGTATATGGTGGAATGCAAAGACCAAACTTCAGTTATTCCTGCACCATTTGTTAAAAAGACTTTTCATTCTCCCATTCAGTGATCTCAGTTACCTGTATTGTAGATTTGTTGACTATAGATGTTTGGTTTTATTTGTGGACTCTCAGTTCTGTTCCATTGATCTACCACACTGTTTTGATCACTGTAGCTTTGTAGTAAATTTTGAAATTAAGAAATGTGAGTCTTCCAACTTTGGGTTTTCTTTTAGGATTTTTTTTTTTTGGCTTTTCAGGATTCCTTGTAATTATATATGAATTTTAGAATCAGCTTGTCCATTTCTGAAGAAGACAATTTGAGTTTTGATAGTATTTCCATCTTAATAATAAGTTTTGCAACCCATGATGTGGGATATCTTTCCATTTATTTAGATCTTCTCTAATTATTTTCAATAGTGTGTTACAGTTTTCAATGTATAAGTTTTGTATCTTCTTGCTTAAATTTATTTTTAAGTATTTTATTCTTTATGATACTATTGTATTTTCTTAATTTATTGGTTCTTAATTATTAGCATTTAGAAATATGACTGATTTTTATGTTGCTTTTGTATCCTGCAACTTTGCTGAATTTTTTTTAGCTCTAATAATTTCTTTTGAAGATTCTTTAGGATTTTCTCTATATGAGATCATATCATCTGCAAATAAAGATAGTTTTACTTCTTTCTTTCTGGTTTGGATGCGTTGATTTTATTTTTATTTTATTGTTGATTTTATTTATTGTTTTTTGTTTCTTTGTTTATTTGTTGTTACTGTTTTTATTTTTGTTTTGGCCTAATTGCCTGGCTAGGACTTTGAGTTCTAGCAATGAGAGGACAACAGATATCTTTGCATTCTTCTTAATACTAGGAGGAAAGCTTTTGGACTTGGACCATTAAGTATGATATTAGGAGCATGTCCTTTATCAGCTTGAGGAAGTTCTGTTCCTAGTGTTTTGAATTTTTCTTATAAAAGGTTGTTGGGCTTTGTCAAATGCTCTTCCTACAGCAAATGAAACGATCATTATTTTCAACCTTCATTCTATTAATGTTGGGTACCACATAGGTTGATTTATGTATGTTGAACCATCCTTGTATTCCTGTTAATAAATATCACTTGGTTATCATGTATAATTGTTTGAATATGTTGCTAGACTTGGTTTGCCAGTATTTATTTTTGTTGATTTTTGCATATATGTTCATAAAGGATATTGGTCTATAGTTTTCTTGTGATATCTTTGTATGGCTTTGGTATCAGAGTAATACTGGTGTTGTAGAATGAGTTAGGAAGTGTTCCTTCCATTTCAGTTTTTTGGGAGAGATTTTGAGAAGGATTGGTGTTAATTCTTTATACATTCAGTAAAGTTTACCAGTAAAGCTATCTGGTCCTGGATTTTTGTTATTGGAAGGTTTTTGCTTACATATTCATTCTTTTTACTTGGAATAGATTTATTCAGATTTTCTGCTTCTTTTTTAGTTGGTTTTGGTACTTTTATGTGTTGCCAGGAATTTGTTTGGTTCATCTGGGTTACCTCACTTGTTGACATACATTGTTCATTTTCTTAGTATTGTTTTTATTTCTGTAAGGTCAATAGTAATATCCTCACATTTATTCCTGATTATAGTAATTAATTAATCTTTTTTTTTCTTGGCAAGTCTAGTTAAAGTTTGTGAATGTTGTTGACCTGCCAAGGAATAACATTTGG